TAAAGGATTTGCACAGCTCTAATGAACCCATTGCTAATCATACAGTCTTCGACGTTGCGACTGTGGCTGGGTGGATTGGGAAGTGGGTGGTCAGAAGACCTAGTTCCCTTTCCTAATCGTTTCTCAAGTGGTTGTTATTAGTAAGATTTAGCACCAACTGTCTCTCAAGTGTTCTTCTAGCTATAGCTCTAAACTGGTTTAATGGGCTTCGCGAATCATATTGTTGCAAGTGGATAGGTTTGACGCGTATTCATCCCAGTTACCATATCGCTTTGCTTGGTTGAGGAGTTTGCTGACTTCTCTCCGCACATCTGAGAGATGGATTCCTTCTCTGACCCTTTGGCTCTACTAAATAGTCGGCAGCTCGATTCAATTCGTACGCCTTTATTATTGTAAAGTACATGCCGGTGACATTCATCTCCAAGTCCACCCACAATTTCTCTATTTTAGTTGTGTTCAAAATTAAATCTTTCTCTTCGCTTATTAAATACATATTTAACGCTCTTCTTCAGCAACGCTAGTAAATTTCTCTTAATCAAATATTTGCCTACTATTATTTGCCAAACATTTACATTCCATCGCGATGGGTGAGAAGGAAATTTTTTAATCTTCTTTACAAAACACTGCCACAGGTCGAGGGTCACACTTCAGCCGCGCCAAGTCAGATGAGTGACTATGTATAATTTCACATTTTGTCATGCAACTATTTAATAATACCAGCAAACGGTGTTACGCTAGTGCAATTTTCCATGAATAAATAAACAAAATCTGATAAAAACGGCATTTTCTAAATTAAATTGTTTGCAAAGCGGGTGGGAAGGGTGCAAAAAATATATGTAGGTATGTATAGTACAGTTGAAGAGTAGCGCGACTAAGGACTCGTCCTGCTTTCACCGCCGCATAAGTATATGACTATGTAGAGTTGTGTAACTTGCTTGAATGATATCCTACGGTGTGGACAAAATGTTCAATGTGCTGGATTGGTTTTTTTTAAGTTTTTTTTTGCTTTCTTTTGTGGCTTTTTTGAAGGCGTTTACAAGCCCATAAGGTCATTTAGCTGCCATACTGACTCTGCGGCGGATCCGATATGTGGTTACAAATGTAGCTTTATTATTAGATACCTCAGATATATTTGTATATACATGTGGGTTCATATGTATGTATGTATGTATAGATGATTATTTGTTTGCATGTAGTATCCACTCGCCGGTAAGTTGTTGACATTTAACATATGCGCAACCACTCATAGCAATTATCATGTCTGCTTGACATGGACACCGCATATAAATAGTCGGACATATCATATATTCATATTTCTAGATATTTACATATGTACACATCATTGTATTTGTTGTATGTAAAGTATAGGCATTCATATGCATATACATATGTACATGTCGACATACTTATGTGGAAGCGAGAAAAAAGAAAAAAAAGGTGGAATCATAGTTGGATATGCCGGTATGACGAATTTACCACCTATTTATGTACATATGTATGTGTACTTCTGTACATGCATATGCGTCAGATATATCCACTAACATAAATTTAAACACACAAATTTAAGCCTGAAAATAAGTGATTGGTAAAATAATCGACCCATTTAAGTTATGCAAGTTAGGCCGAGTCTATGATAAAAACTTCTCATGCAATAGTATTTTAGTGAGGCCTTGAAAATAAGTCTCAGTTTCTTTCCAACCGTTTTTACAGGAAAATAACAACCAATGAATCTGATTAATAGAGCTCGGATTTGTTTACAAATTGAATATGAAAATGTATGCAAAATATATGGAAAAAATAAGCAAGAACTATGCAAAATATATTAAAAAATTAAAAAAAAATACATAGATATGCTAAAAAAAGCTTTTTTATGCAAAAATTTAAATAACACCTAAGAAACAAGACCGAAGTCGTTTGCACTAGTGTTCATGTTATTAAGATTTCAGGGAAAATGAAACAAGTTTTGTTAAAAGCATATCTTCAAATTTATTAACAACTTGTATTTAGGTTAACTCTTTAAACTACTTTAGTAGTATCCCTGGGATCATCCGCATTTGCGGCCCCAACCGTTGCCAAAGTCCCAAACGTCATAGACCAGGAGCGCATCCTGGAGGAGAGTAGGGAGAAAAAGTCAATCCTCTCTTCTTCAGAGTCGGAAGAGGACCAATCTCTTGCTGGGGATGTAGGTGGAGAAGCAGTTCGCTGCCAACTACCCTCCAATGACGGGGAAGGGGAAACACTCTTCTGTGGCTGACCGAACTCCTCCTGTGAGTAAGCGGACCAGGTCTACATATGTTACTCCAGAAGCCAGTGGAACTTGATGGATGTACCGACATCCAAATCTGCTTGCGAACGTTGCAAGAGAAGGAAACCTGTAGCGACATACACCAATTGCTGTCCCGATGCCTCTTCGAGTCATAGTGTGGCTCGGTACTGGTATGGCATTGCCCAATTCCGATCATCCAGACAGACCTCTGGCGCCACGAAACGCTTGCCTCAAACCAAGAATAGAAGTGATGCAAGGGTCGGTCGAGGCAAAACTGCCCTCGCTATTCCCTCGAAGTAACTACGTCTGGAGGTCTAGGTTCCGGGCAACTTATTGTGAGCCCGTAAAAGGCCCTGTGCTCATTGCCGTAATGGGGAGAGCGGGTTAGACTCGGCAGATGACTACTGCGGAAATTAAACGCTGATCCGGGCCGTCATTGCCTCCGGTACTGTAGCCAATGCTCGTTCATAAGAGAGGGATGGAACCATTGTGGTAAAATGCTTCTTCCAAGCTAACTGGGATTGCCTCAAAGCTGTGGAGCAAAGAATACCGGTCACAAGTGAAATAGACTTCCCTGTTTACAGTGCCAATAACGAATGAGAGATAAAATTATGAATTAGAGAGCGGATTACGTGCCGTGGGAACGTAGTATAATTCGCTCTTAGAAGTGTGCTGCAGCGGGATTGAAACCATGAGTCAAACAGCTAGGCTGGTAAAAGTTCTGAAGAAGGACCAAACCACAAAGCTGCGTTCACTCAAGAGTCCTGATGGCTTTTTAACGGAGAGCTCTCTGTTCTACTAGAGGCTAAATTTCGTGGAAATCAGGTGATGGTTTCGCCTTGCTCTCCCTCGACTGGTGAGGGAGGGTATGCAAGAACCACAGTATCAAGGTAAAACTGGTTTGTTGCCAGAAATGTCGCTAACGAAGATGCCCTAAGATATGCCATTGTCTTTTGACAGTCTCAAATCGCCTGGTCCGGATGGCATCCTACCTATTGTACTTAAAGAAGGGGTTGAGCTTTAGTTGGCGAACTTGCAAAAGATTTTCACATCATCGCTTGCACTTGCCAACATACCACAAATAAATTAGATTTGTTCTATGCTGACGTAGCTGGGCAGCACTATTCAGGTAGAAGAAGGTCAGTATGTCGCATGCGGAGTTAACAAGAGCTGCCATCAAAGTTACATGCTTATAATAATTTATTTATAGGAAATATGCAAAATATATACAAAAATATGCAAATATGCAAACATGCAAAATATGTGAAAATATGCAAAACATAATAGGTCCAAATTAACTCACTTCCTCCTATAATGAGTTTCTACCCAGGTCCGGACTTTCTGTTAAACAAACATAATCACTTGGTAGCAAAAGTCATTCTCAGACAAAGAAGAAGTGATCTACGAGCCTTGATAGGACTGATTCCAATCCATGGAGTCACCATAGGCATCATCGACAATCTACTGTGTACATTTTGTTTGGAGGATGAGGATAGAACAGCATATTTTATCTACCGCTGTCCAGCCTTCGCCAGACTTAGATGGTACACTTTTGGATCGGATGTTTTAAGAACGGACGAGATACGTTCTCTTTCCCTAAAAAAAACTGCTAAGATTCATAAAGGAGTCTGGTAAGTTTGCAGAGGAGCAACGAATTCCTACTCCACCCTCTAAATCTGTCTGTTGGTTTTAAGTACAATGGGCAATACTGCCAGAGAGCTTGGAAAAATTTCTTTTTTTCTGGCGTCCTAAAATTCCATTCCATTCCAATTATTTTCTATTTTCTATCTTCATCTTTATCGTTCCCGTAATCGTAACCGTTCACTTTCTATACACGCATAATACCCCTTCAGCGTGACGTTAAATATTTTTTGCAAGCGTCTCCGAAGTCACTTAAGAAGTTTCACTAACAAAAAAGTTATCAACCTGAAGTCGCTAATATTTATGTTGAGTGAAGTTCCATGCTTAGAAAACTGTGTAGCCCTAAACTCTCATTCGAATCCATACTTTTTTCGGCACTGTACGAAATATAATAACCCTCGATTGTCGCCTGTCATTGACTAGAATATAATTAATGATGTCAAATGACTGTATAATGTCAATTACATGATATTGATGAACTTGAGATATACATACATACTTATGTATTTGTATGTAGGTTAGGGTGGTCGAAAAATGTTTGTGACCCCTAAATATTTTTGATTCCAAAATAAAAAATAGGGGTATATTTTTTCGATATTGAACAATACTAGGAGCATTAAAATTCCGACTTTACTTGGACCACCCTAATGTACCTGAGACATATTAACCATGTAATTATTTTTGTTACACAGCTTAAATAAAATTTTTTTTCCATAAAAATGTCAACATATCAGTTTTATGTGTCTCAAAAGTTAGAATTTCTGACAAACAACCGCAAAATATTAAATTTTTTGGGCGGCCACAATTTGCAAACTAAAACCACTTATAAATGGTTGTTTTCAGAAATTAGGCCGAATTTTTGTAATGTCTTTTCGGCTGATATTTAAAAATTTTAGACATATTTTTCAAAATTTTTATGCTGAAATTTACTTATTTTCATCATGATCTATTTTGAAACGAATGAAGAGATGACGGATTGTCATCCAAAATATCTACATAATTTTTAAGCTCATTTATTTTATCAATTTCCATATAATTTTTTATGCGACAACTAATTTCTTACTCGTTCTTGCCTCTCTTCTTCTTCTTCCAGCTTGGGCATCGGCCGCGCACATTTCGAAAAACAGCCACCGAGTAATTTACGTAAATCAAATTTTTTCCATTTTGTCATTGCGCTGTACGATCGTGCCGGTCAACCGATTGAAATTGAGCGCACAGCCTTTATTGGCTTCATTGAAAAGGATTCCGAATCGGATGCGACTAAAACAAATAATGGCATACAATATCGGCTGCAGCTGCTCTATGCGAATGGTAAGTGGAATTTTTCGAAAATTCGAAGAAAGTAATATTAAACAAACAAAATTAGCTGAGAAACTGAGCTTAATTTAAGCTAAGGAAAATTTAGGGTTTGGATCAATTGAGAACTAAGTTTGATAGTTTCGTTCAGTAGGGTGAAGTGAAAATAAAATTTAAAAGTCAATACACTTCTAAGTAAACTTAAGGAATGTATGAAGGTTATTGTATGTAAACTAGTCTTGGCCAGAGAGCGTTCATATGAAGAGAGTCTGGGCGGTGCAAATCGAGAACCTTCGGGCATAGCTCAATATCAAGCCTTAGTCCGATAGCAAATAAAACCATGGACTACATGGTATCAAGTCTCGATTTTGGCTTCAATGTACATACTTGTGCGGTTTTCATTCAAATGGGAATGGAGAGGGGAGTTAATCTTTTTTTGCGAAATTATAAATGCCTAGCTAGTTATACAACAAACACCATATAAATCCACATTTCAAACATTATACAAAATTTATAAAAATTCAACACATTTTCAGCAAAAAAAGGTATTTATTTTGTAGCCACTTGAAACTTACACTTTATGATACTAAAATTGTAAGGGCAATTAAACTGCATACCAAAAATTATTTAAAAAAATCTAAAAATTTTGAATAAAAAATTTAAATTTTTTTTGTATAGAGAAAGAGGCACAAAAAAAATTCTAAAACGCAACGGTATTTTGTATCTACTTCAAACCAAGGCATATTGAACAATTAGTATCATTAGATCAGCTGATTTTTTTTTTTTTTTTAATTATTTGGTCTCTAAAGTGTCAAATATAGTTTATTAATTTTTCCTTAAAATTCTTAATTGCCAAAATATATTTTCACGTGAAAGTTTTTTTTTCATAAAACGAAGTTATTAAAAACCATCTTTTGGAACGTCCGTTTATGTAACTCCGAGGTACGAACGCTGATTATTGTGCATTGCAAAGGATGGATTAATGCTCCTGGAAGCAAAAAAAAAAAATACGCTGAAAGAAAGTTGCAAAAATGTTTATACATTTTAATTCGAATAATTTTTAATGATTAAAAAAACACCGAATACTTTTTTGACACTTTAGAGACCTGAAGACTACCTGTACCCAAAAGTTTTCTAAAAATTCAGAATAAAAAAGTGTGACAGTTTGATGAAACTTTGTGGTTTTTTATTACTTAGTTTGAAACTTGGATCTATTTTTATGGAATTAACTATCTATATTTTTATAAAAAAGTTAAAAAAAAAAAAACATTTATAGTCCAAACATGTCAATATGTGGGTGTCGTATGGTTGTGATAAACACTCTAATAAAGTAAGAGAAATTGCAAAATAGCAAAGAGATCCGCTTCAATACAAATCCCCTTGAGTGCAAACATTTTTTCTTAATCAATGCAAACTTAAGCCATTACACTTCAATTTCGTTTATTATTCGCTACTAACTCTTAAAAAAAAAATTATTCTACTTAATTTAAAGATTTCATTAAACATTTATTTATAACTTTTTTTCTTTTTTGAATTTAATCAGGTGCGCGCCAAGAGCAAGACATATTTGTGCGACTCATCGATTCGGTGACAAAGCAGGTAAGTCCTTTTTAGTCTAGAAGAGAGAAAACAAAGGAAAATAAATTAAAATAGAATAAGTAAAAAGATGTATGCTAGTGTGTGAGTGCTCTTCAAAAATACAAAAAAAAAATAGCCATCGCCGTTTTGTCCCGAAAGAATTTGCAATCAATTACCTTGGCATTTGCCATTTGCCGATTTTTGCAAGCTTTTTTTTTTTTTTTTTTTTGAAAAAAGAAATCCTATAAAAACCCATATTTGCCCCTTCGCATTCACGCGCGCTTGTGTGTGTGTGCAATCGAACATAAGTTGCGTTCAAAATTGATTGTCACAGTTAATTAAGTGCGTCCATAGTATACGCCAATAAATTGAGTTGTCAAACATGAATGTACGTTCCTACTACCATCGTACGAGTATTTAGTAGCAAAAACAGCCTTCTAATAGGGGTGTTGCCCGCTCGTTGGCTGAGGCACACACACGCTTAGTACCCCTTTCTTTCGCGTTGCCTCCAGCCCCCTCGAAACTCTTTAGCACTCAACATAGTGTAGACACATGTAGACATATTTAGCGAGTCCCATTTGTTCTACTGCGACTGGGTTAACTCCTTTTTTTTCGTCACATTTGCTGCAGGTCGCCTTAGAACGCCTACACACAGCATTGGCGTGTCCAGCCGCCTTTATGTTTGTATTTGTGTGTAAGTGTGTGCGTGTACGCTTGCGAAACGCATCGAAATGCAAACGCAGCATTTAACATTTAGAAAAAGTGTCTACCTTGTCGCTGCTGTGCTGAGGAAGGCGGATGGACGGACAACAGGACTTGTGCCATATGGCTGGTTTTTAATGGTTTTTTTATTTCACGTTTTCTACCAGTTATCTTTTTTTGTTTCATGTTACCGTATTCGTACAACAAAGGAAGCAACAGAAAGCTTGAAGCCTGAACAAAAATCTAACTTAAAAAAAAGTGCGTAAAGTAGGCACACGTGCACGCAGAGAAAAATTGTGTTCTAAAAATAAGTCCAACTGGGATTTAATTATTCTTTTTTCGCTCTTGAACTAAAATTTTTGAAATCTTTCTTCAATCTTAAACGTTCTAAAAATGTAAGTAATCATGAAGGAATAACTCTACAAAAATATATGCTTGATAGGTGGCACAGGAGTGGAGATATTTGGAAAGCCCGTATTTATGGTCCGATTTGATTCATATTTAGAACATATATTATTTAAATATATATGATATATTATTAGGTGGGAGTCGATTTTTCTTTTTTTCACTGACCACTATTAAAAGCTTGTCTTTAAAAAATTTCTTTTTAAATTACTGGTTTTAAATATAGTTCACACTGTTGCAAAAAAAAAATTATATAAATAAAAGTTTCAAACTTTGTGCAAAATTTAGAAAAGTTCATCAACATTTCAAACTTTTTAATCAAAATCTTTTCGGAAATTTCAAAAAAACATTATAAAAATATAAATAAAAATAGAAGTAGACTTGTGGCCACGCAAACCTTACCAGCACTTTATTTTCTATAAAATTATTATTTTTTTAATATCTATACATAGTTCACATTGTAACAAAAAATAAAATAAAAATAAAAGTTTTAAACCGTATAAAATTTAGAAAAATTCATAAAATTTTCATCAAAGTTCCAAAAGTTGTAATCAAAATTTTTAGGAAAATTTCTGGTGTGCAGTTTAATATAACCCATGTTATTTTAGTATAATAAGGTGCAAATTTGAAGTACCTCATTTCTTTCCATGCGATGTTGCACATTTTGTCATCAAAATTTTACAAATTTTCAAAAACTACCGACAATTTTTAGCCACTTCAAACTTGCACATTAGTAAAGTAAAATTAAATGGTCTATTATACTTACGGTGACCATAAATATGGATTCAAAATGAAGGACATTTTTCAAAAATATGCCTTCATATATTAACGTAGTATAAAAATATCAAAAGAGTATTTATGATTCTAATTTATTAATATATTTTAAACTTTAAAAATTAATCACTTTTTTTTCATCGATATTAATCTTTTTTTACATGAATATTTGTAAAAGTATAGTAAAACATATTATAATTACAATAGCTTACCCGAAAAGTGAAAATCTTTGAAATATTATTTTATAGGCAAATTTTGAGTCGTTCAAAACGAAAACAATAAAATTTTTTTTTTTGTTTTTTTGGTACTTTTCGCAGTTATTTGTCAAAAATCGACGTCATGAATCGACGTAGACGACGAGTTACAAAGTGCCCTTTTCAAAAATATATAATTTGTGCAGATTGCGCTCCGTAGCATCTACATTTCTAATCCGATTTTCATTATCTTTGGCTCAAAATTTATTGTAGTGATATATCTTCTTTATCGAATTTTTAAAGTAATGAAAAAAAAAACATATTCAAATGAAACTGCGTATTTGATTGAAAATCTAATCATGAGATATTGAAGAAAAGCTACGAAAACTACCAGAAATCACTTTTTTGAAAAAATCCATCCATTGTCCGATAATATTAAAATAACGAATAAAATGCGGGACAAATGCAGGACACTTGGGAAAAATCAGTACATTTTCAAGTTTTTCAGATTTGAAAAACTACGCAGGACCGACCTTTGAAAAACAGTACGGTCCTGCAAAAAACAGAACGGATGGTCACCGTAATTATACTGCATACCTGAAAATTTTGATCAAAAAGTTTGCAATTTTGATGAAAATTTGATGAGTTTTTCCAAATTTTGTCCAAAGTTTGAAACTATTTATATAGTTTTTGTTACAGTGAACTATTTAAAAAAAATAAAATAATTTGTTTTATTAATTTTCCAAATTCTAACTATATTTTTTTATAGTGGTGGTAAGGTTTGCGTTTTCGGAGCTACCGTAGTTTTGTGACCGCAGTATAAAATTGATTCATTTTTTTCTGAGTGTGCTTCTTCGATGTGCGTGGATTTGTGTGCCTCTAACTGTGTCTCGCTGAATTGCTTCTTTTTCAAGGGTAATTAATTTCTTGACTGACAAATTTTTATTGTTGTTACACAAAGCTTAAATGCGTATTTTTTATTCGATATTCAGTGTGCGTTTAGCGTGTTGAGGCATCGTTGCATGCGTTCAAAAATCGATTTCGCTATTAAAGTGATTGCCCATTGACAACAGCCGTTCGGGAATTGACTGCAGGAAACCAAAAGTTTCGTGTAATAAGTTTCTGTGTGTAGATGTTGGAGTTTAATAAAATTTTTTGGAAGAGCTTCATTCCATATTAAACCTAAGTACTTTGGATACTGAAAATTAAAAAAATTTTAAATCGTTGCTCAGAGAATTATTCCAGGCAGGCAATGTGAAGTTTGACAGATATATAGCCCTTCGGAAGCTTCGGTAGAAACTGGTCCTATTGCAACTGCTAATGCAGAAATAAAGTACAACGAACATTTGTCCGTTGAGGTGCCTATTAAAGATTTGAAAATTTGGAATTACTCGAAATGTTCGATATCTTTCGTCAAATACAACTCAATCTCTACATACATACGTACACCATTTAATATATTTATGTATTTATCGGTGCCCATTTCACATTATTTTTATTGCTCTTTCATATACAAACACTCACACACGCATAAACTCAATCAAAGGCCCACTTTACTACATGAATCATGATAAATTATCTTTCAACGTGTTAATTAAGCGATAAAATAAATTTGCATGTCAACAGATTTCTGAGTAGTCACTCGTAGGCAATGCGAAAGCGAAACGCATAGCATTGGTCGGCGGAGCAATCGGACGGACATACTACACACGTATGGAAGACTGCTGCTCCACGCAAATGCCGTGATTCGCCAACGCATGAGCAGAGGAAGAAGCATGGACACCTCAATGGCGAAAGTCATTGTGTTTTAATGTATTTTTATGTGCGACCATCATTGTTACTACTTACCTACACATGTATGTATGTATGTACTTTAGTATATCGAAAATTCATGCAATATATTAAAGCATTTTTGCAAATTTCCACGTTTCGTTATCGTTCGGCAATAAAATTTATCGGTCGGCCATTACAATGTAAATATGTACTTACATAACGCAGTAAAGCAATAAAGTTTTTTTATACGCGCATTGAAGAGTAGAAGAGCAAAGCGGCAAGTAGAACACTTTAAAGACAAATAAATTTCCTCTAATTTCCAAATAAATAAATTTCCAAATAATAGCCTCAGTCGTGGATTTTTTTCTCTCGCCAGGAGATCTCTTTGACCTTCATGCTTTCTTCTATAAAATTCGCTGAAAGTCGTCCTTAATTGCTTCCGAAGCTTTGTAGGGTCTACCAAAATGTACGAGATGAAAACTCCTCTTATTTTAACGGTCAAATCGTTGTAAGCGCTATCGCAAAGCTTTTATTTAATAGTCCACCTAAGCGCCAGTGCGGACGTCTTCTACCGGTATTCTATTTCTCTATTATATTTAGTGAAATTAATAAGTTAGATAGCATTTAAAGTAGACGTATTTATGCGGCACGCACTTAAGTGAAAGGGAGCACAAAAAGCATTTTCAATTGATATTTTATTAAAAAAAAATACTAATTGAAGTTAAAAAATTGTAGGGGCACAGTAAAAAATGCATTTTAGCGGGAGGCTTTTAAACGGAGTACACTTAAGTGATATATATTTATGTTCAAAACTGATTTCTATAAAATGGGATTTAATATAGAAACGTAAATTAGCCAAAATGACTCTTAAAATAGAGGCCGTTAAATAAAACGCATTTAAGCGATAGACAATAAAATAATTCCTAGCCAATTATATGATAAAGACTTTAACTGAATTGAGTATACAAAAATTCAGCGCACTTAAGCGGATACCTCTTAAAAATATAATAAATAAAATGCACTTAAACGGATTTTGTTTTACTAACTTAACGGAAATTTCGAAGGCATGCGCATTTAAAAGAATAGCCTCGCCGTTTGTAACTCCCTTTCCGATTCTTAAAAAAAATTACGAAACACAGTCTACAACGCCTTAGGCTTTTAAACGAAGTGCAC